CCTAAAAGACACCAGAAGAAACATTAAGGATTTAGACACCACACTTGTTACCTTTGTCACTAGAGTAAGGTGCATGGACATTGTTGCTTGGGACGGAGACGTTCTGGTGCTGTGGCTGGTTCACCGTTTCTAGAAAGGATACTAGATTCTCGTGATGTGACAGTTCTTCTGCTACAGGGAAGGACACAATATTCCAGTTCAGCTGAGTATCCCCTTCTGTGAGTGCCCGGAAAAGTGAAGGAATTGGTTCGTGCAGCTCCTCCACAGTGCTCTTGGACGTGGGAGGTGTATCGCTGTAATTGCGAGGATTGCACATGCCTGCAGAGGGATGGGACAGTGGTAAGTGACACAAAACTGCCTGAACTCTGCCTCAAATGCAAGAGAAATTGTTTCTTGTTGCGCAAAACAGGACTCTATTGTAAGTTCCCCTCCTCTGAACTCAGCGGCAGAAACCAGCAAACGCAGCAGGACTGGTTTCCAATACAGTAGATTTCAGAACTCTGCAGAGCTGTACAGAGCACACAGGCAACCTGAGAGATCCAGGGAAAAAGACCTCACAAGAAAACCTCTCCTGTATAGCATTTCACTTCCCTTTTTATACTAGCATTTCAGTTGAGAGTATGGAAAGTTCAATGAAAGGTTTGTTCCCCCTAGGAAAAGAGAAAAGCACACTATAAATGCTACCAGAATAAACCTGAAACGAAAGCTTATGACTGAAAGAAGATACCATCTCAACAAATCCTGAGGTACATGAAACTTTTGATCATAACTCAAGTATTCAAGCTCATCTGCTTCAGGAATGCAGTAGACGTTACTAGTCATCTTCCAGGTGCCAAGATCAATATCAGGAGAGAGCACAATGTGAATTACTTTGCCTTCCCGGAGACAGCCGGGGTGACACTAGTTTTGCTGCTCGGTTGGAAGGATCACTACAGGCAAACTGCTTATTTCAGGTTACCACTTCCTCATTTTTCACCATCTTTTGTGGTATTTTTTTTTGAAACCAAATATCCTTTATTTTAATCCTCCTTGCCACTTCCTGCAAAGTGTTTGTGATATGCAACGCAGGTGCCAGACTTTCATTAACAATATAAGTGCTACCATTTATAGCCAGTAATGAAACTGAAAGGTACCTTCACTTGATCTGAACATAGAAAGCATCCATTTTACAATTAAAAGTTATGGCGGTATAGCTAGTTATATTCAGAAGTGATAAAACACTACTGGAAGTCACCTGACCAAAGAGAAATCCATTTTCCTCATGTGTATCTAGATGTGATTTTGAGTAGTTTCACAGACACAGTTTTAGGTAGCTACAGCTACCAGGCACACCAGTCTTCAGAGAGGCTTATATGAGAGCAATGGGAGATAGACATGCTCAAGATATACATGCACCAGATCAGAAAAGCATCTCCTGCCCTGTAGATGCATTAAGACCCAGTTTCTGAGAGTTTAATTAGAACTGTATACAAAAAAAAGCCTTTTCAGTTTAAGTGGTATGATTTTTGCGATGAAGAAAACAAGAATGAGTTTTGCCCATCATGCTTTCAGCATGAGACCTCCCATATCTCAAGCATGCAGTTTAGCATTATCAGCATTTAAAAGCACTGACAGCACAAGTCAGGCAATTCCTAGAAAGGTGACCTAAGTATTGGGTAGACAAAAAAAAAACTCACTTAGAATATTCACAACATAACTTAATAAAGGAAGTCCATCAAAATTTTCATTTGAAAGATCTCAAATTGGGTAAGAGCTTGGTATAGACATATTGACAAAGTTTATTGGATGTCACTGTAAAAATATTGTGAAGTGGAAAGCAGCGAGGTTTTCTAGAGGCTGCATCTCTCAGCTTGGATTCAGAATATGGTTTTCACTGATGAAAAATACACAAGAAAAAAAAAGATCAACATGCTTATCAGGAATGTATATCAAAATATTGCAGGATGTGTACACTTTGTGTACATATCAATGCAACAAAAAATACTACATTAAGATCCGATACCAGGAAACCATTCCTCATAGTTTAACAGGTAACTACTGATTGCACCAACCTCCTTCACTTTTACTATTTAAAAAGTGGTTTAGTATTTAATACCATAGCTTTGGACAAAATTAAAACAAAACCTCAGCATACAAACAACTGCTAAGGAACAAACACGTCCACTTCAGCTGACACCTAAGTCTTTTTACCAACTGAGCTAATACTTATTAGCAAAGATCTCTTCTCCAAGCAGCAGTGGATGCCTTGCACTCCTATTGCTTCGTTTGAGTAAGACATATTTGGCTACACTAAGAACCACAGGGAAATCTCTTCCCTGACTCCACAACCAAAAAAAGAAAAATCCCTTGTGAACCCCTGCTCTCCCAGCGCCTGTTCTTCCCACTGATATTCACACAAGGAGAAACAGAGAAGCAACAAGAACTGAGGCACTGGCAGAACTATCAAGAGATGTTTTAGATTAATTAAAACTGGGAAACTTAAACCAAAGCCCTGTTAATTCCTCTCTGTACTAGCAAAACAGCTGCAGAACAGGGAGTAACGTGCAGATTTAGAATTAAACCTATGTTTGGACTTGGTTCTTTTTTTCATAATCCCAAGAACCAAGTACTGCTTCTGCCTACAGAACATCTGCACAATAAAGTTTGCTTTCTCCAGCAGAGAATGGTTCTGAGCGAGGGAAACAATCTGCTGCCCCATTCCCTACCCCACATGGCAACTGCATGCTTTACTATTACATTAAAAACATCAAACAGACATCAGAAGGGGGAAGAAAATAGGGAAAAAAGAAACTTCCATTTTACTTTGCAAGGAGACCACTGGAGGAAAAAAAAGTCAAAAAACCTCTAAGACCCAGCACAGGGGCTGGAAACACTTTATACCACCTGGAAGAATCACACCTGCACAGGGATTCACCTCTCCACTGCTGATAGAGAGAAGAAACACAGGCAAACTATCCAGAACAGGATGTCAGACCACATGTGCACATCTCTGTGGAGCGGGAGAAGCAATGACCTGCTTTGGAAAGGAACATTTTGAGGCTAACCATCGGTGCAAATTCAGAGAAGAAGCAAGCAGACTGAGAAGCTGGTACAGGAATAGCAATTGAGATGAATCCATTCGCAGAAGGCAGAAGGATTTTGAATGGCAGGAGAGGAACCTTTCCAAAAGCTCCTCTTGTCCAGGCTGTCATGGCAACAACGGGTCTGCCTCTTCCCTACGCTCCAGAGAGAGCTCTTTTTATTAATAAAAGTTGCCTGAAAACAGTTGGGCCACCCATATCCACTGCGAGTCCCAAGCAAACCCAAAGGAATTCAAGCCTCAAATTGCCACCTCATGGTATTTGCTGGTGCGCTTCACAGCAAGAAACCTTTCCATGCAGTCTCCAACGGAGTTTCATTAAGGTGACAGTTCAAAAGGAGCTTATGTCTTTAAGACAAAATTAGCGGCTGGTTACCACGACGTTAACCAAGTGCAATGTGGAGTACCGCAACCACCCACTCCATTAAACAAAGGCCCTCCTACCACTTGGTTCCTCGCCCAGCACCCCCAGAAGGAGCTCCGGGGTGCCCGAAGGCCGGATGCGGCGGGGCCGGCGGGGCAGCGCGGCGCTCCGGGGCGCGGGATGGCAGACTTACCCACGCAGTCGCAGCACTCGTCCCACAGCGTGCCCAGGCACAGCATGCACTCCTTGCAGCAGGAGCAGTTCCCTTCGCCGGGGCGGCACTGGCACAGCTCCTGCAAACAACACAGGCCCGTTACAGCGCGGCCGCGCGGGACGCCTCAGCGTGCCTCGGTGTGGAGAAAGCCAAGCACGCCCAGAGAGCGAGCGAAGGGTGGAGGAGCCCCAGCCACAGAATCGATCCTGCTGGGCAGCAGGAGCCTTTGCAAGCTCTGCTAAGCTGAGGTTCTAAAAACAGACCTCAAGTCATCTAACAAGCATGTAAAAGGCAAAAAAAAATCCTACTCGTGTGAGACCTGTTCACGCCTTTGTATGCCTGGATCTACAGGTTCTTTGAATGTTTTTCCTATCACAACAGGACGTTTAAAGATGGATGTTTCTTTATACATAAATAGTACGCGTAAGTTATAATTTAGCTAAGGAAACAGCTACCATAAGCAACATGTGCACATTTAGGAAGAGATGCAATGTCTACCATTGCACCTACTCATGGATTCTACAAGAAACTTACTTGCTGAAGTGAGAAACACAAGATTTTGCATAACCTTGAAAGCTTGTTACATATTGGTCTGTATTTTAAATATTAGTGACTACTTTTTTCCCTAGCAGGCCAGCTGATTCATTTTTGCTATTAAGAAAAACAATGTCCTGGGACACTTCCAAAGCTTCTGTAGCCTCTAGAAAGGAGAAATCAGATGCATGTGTATTTTTCTTGAATACTTATTATGCTACCGTGCCAGAACGAGCACGGAAGCAGGAATGTTCCAAACTTCCTTCCGACTGCCCACACCTGGAGGCGTTGGCAGTGCTGCTGCAGACAGACACTTGCAAACTTTGAAGCATGGCAACTCCCTGCGTGTGTGAAGGAATGAGGACAGAGAGAGGAAAGGAAGATGGTTCATTCCTATCCTGGAATAGCCACTGAAGGCTCCATCTTATGTAAGCACAGCTGGCTGAAGACACCACTCACGAGAGGCAGGCTCAGACCTCAGCTGCTAGGTTAAAGGAAGGGAAAGAAGCTGAAAGCCAACTCAATAACAAGCCTTTGCCTCCTACTGCTAAGAAATATGAGGCAGAGAAGAAAGTTACCACAAGAGGCATTTCTACAGCCAACTCGAGCAGCACTTTTGCTATCAACTGCAGAGCACAGGGTGCATTTATACTGCCCTTCTTTCCTCATCCTGCCACACCGACAACCCTAAATAAGTGCCTGTTACAGACTGCAAAACTACCAAGATTCTTCTTTACTTCTTATTTCACAAAATTTCTTAATGCCACCTATTGCTATGCTGTTTCCAAGTGAAAGATGAAAAACAGGCTCATTAGTAAGACCTACAAAATGCTCCATAAGAGGAGACACCATGAACTGAGCAAGATGACTTACGTGAATGAATGACGCATTTCTAAAATATTTATTTTACTGTTTGATAAACAGATTGTGTAAGTCTTGAGAATAAAGATCCCAAATAAAACAACTTGTAGAACAACCATAACATATTCTTACCTTGGCCAGAGCATCATATGAATATGGGTTAACATTAAAAATCTCCTATGTATTTGTTCTTCAACAGTAAAGCTGGGCAACCAACCTTGAACGTAATAAAGACACCAACAAGCCGGTGCGTGGGAGGAGGCTATTCCTCCCTGTTAATAAACTATTAAATGTAATATACCAATTGAGACCAGAAAACTCACTAAATTTGACTCAGTTTACAGGCTACACTATATGAGCCTAGGGCAGGAAAATACTGGCACAGAATTAAATGCAACCCTACATTTCACACTTGCAGCATAACAGGAAAAGCTCTGCTCAGTGCATATACGTGTATGGATGGCATCACTATACCTACTAATGTTTTAACAAGTTATTTTTTATACGAAGGGCTTATGAGCATCGTAACTTGCCTTTTTTTCTCTGAGCTGGTGGAGGTGGCTGGAAGGAAGAGAGCAGCCCCATTAGCCCCTTGTGCAGTTGCTCAGCTCCCTCTTCTCCGAGTTTGACTGCCTCTTTAGTGCAATAACTGGATGTTTTCCCATGTATATGCGTGTATATGTACATGGTTTCCTTAACCGCTTCGGAGTTCTCCGAGTGACTCATCCACGCTGGATGCCTGCGCAGGATACATCTTTTTACAGGACTGCCTCCACGGGACGTGGGAGAGCGGAGCAGGATGAGAAAGGCTCCTTGGTCATAGCTGGGGGTGGTGAGGCGTCAGTGGAAGAAAATATTGCTCATAAGCAAGCCTGGCAACCTCCCCAGATGAACTACTGAAGGTGCATCAGGAAACGCATTTTGCCAGGCAAGAATAAGCCTCTTAGTCCAAATATAGAGCATTAAGTAGGAAGCAGACATGTTCCTACAGTAAAGGCACTTCTGCTCCAGAAAGCAAATAAAGTATTTTTACCAGGTATTTAACACCTGCATTTTTTCAAAGCTTTCTTGAAGTGACATGGACCATTTTCTCCATGCAATGAGAAACAGGACCTGAAGGCGTTGGCAACATTTTTGCGAACAGAGTGGGGACTGGAAGAAAAAAAGAGCTAATGTTTTTTCCTAGAACAGTTTAGTAACACAAACTCTCCTGGAAGCAAACCAGACAGATCTATTTTGTCAAACTCACTGTGTTACGTGTAAAAGCTACAAAATACACACTGGAAGTAAATTTTAGATACGTAAGCCCCGAAGCAAAAAAGCGGTGTTTATTCCACGCTGCAAGGCTGAAAGAAGTCTTGGAAACCCTTCCAAGTGAACTTGCAAGTTTGCAGACAAAGCTGAACAGGAGGCGAAGACAAAGATGAAAGATTTTGAACAGAACGAAGCAGCACCTACCAAGGCTATTACAGGCATATAGCATCTGCAAGAAAAACTCTTGCATTTTGTCCCCACTGATTTTAGAACAATCCCCTCCTTGGAAGGCTGCAAAATCCATGCCTGAACTATAGCACTGTTTGTTTCCTACCCCCAGCAGTATTTTAAAGCGGCTTGTGTTTCAATACTGGCTTTAATTAACCATGTGTTTTCTGCTAAATCTTTGGCAGGCTTTACCAAAAGAGGCATCAATGAAGTACGTCTTCCACACCACCAGCAGCTGCAACACAGAGGCCGAGAGGAAGGGGGTGTTTTTGTTGTTGTTGCAGGCCAGGCCACAGAGCGGGGGTCTCAGCACGTCACGAGCCCGTCGCAGTGCGAGACGCAGCACGACGCGGGCGACGCTGCTGCTGCAGCTGCCCCTCGGGAGCCAGCGCGGGACTTGCCTCCCGAACCTGCTTGCCAAGAGCAGTCGTGGGAACATCCCACGCCAGAAGTTTCTGCTTTCAAGGGCTTCCTCCGTGCTGCAGGGACACAATCCACTTCCACTCCCCCAGCTGCCATTCCCATCGCTCTACGTGCGGAAACGTCACAACGACCCACGTGCTCCAAGTCAACAGCAAAAGTTTTGGAACAAACACTGGAAAACACGTGCCATGTGCAACCAGGATGCAGTAACCTACCTGCAGAGCAGCAAGATGACAGCCTGATGTCGACTTCAGTGCCCTAATTCCAGACACATGGAAGGAGCTACAGCAAAGCCCTGAAGCGAACTCATTTTGTGCACCCGCTCCACTTACACTTCCCAGTCTCATCCACAACTCCTTAATAGCTAGAGGAAGGCACAAGTTTTTGCAAACATTACGCTCATTTAGAGAGATGCCCCAATTATTTTCTTACAGATCTTTCCAGGGGCAAACACAAAACCTAGAGCACAAGAGCGCCAGCGAAGCCCTTGAGATGCGAAAGGAAGTCAGAGTGCAGGCAAGTTGTTGATCTCATGCTCTATTCTGGATCTAACAACATAAATATTTATGTAGGGACCACCCTTAAACAGAAAGCTGCTCATAAGGAGTGGCAGCAATGACTGTACTGACTTTTAGCCATGCTGGCGAAAATATTTATGTTAACTGTATGCTTTTCAAGAGACCAAGTCTTTTGTTTTGTTATTTCTGCAACACAGGCAGCCTCGCTTTCTGCACGCAGATGACAAACATTCACATTCTGTTAGTTACCCCAGTAATCTTAGAGAGACATTATTTTGGTTTAAGACATCCCCTAGACCAAACGCTTTCTTCCCTAAATACATACAACACTGCACTGGCTATTCAAGGCCCTCGTACACCAACATCTGGCATCTTACTTGCTAATGATTCCAAGCCTCTGGTGACATGGAAAAATGCAACAGGAAGGAACTGAAAAGTGCGTTAGCTCATCGCACCGCACGATGCCCTATCCATTAGCTAAGAGGCTGTTGTTACCTTTGAAAAAAATAAAAGGCAAAAGCTGCCCTTGTGCTGTGGGCTCTACGGAAAACAGCTGAGCCGGGAGACGCAGAGACCTTTTATCTGCAATGCTTCTGCTTTTGGGTTTCCAATCCACAGAGGCAGCCAGGAACAGCTTCTGCTAAAGAAGCTGCAGCCGACTCGGCGAAGGCTGCTTTCTTTGACATGTAGTCAGAAAACAACCTCAAAGCACCTTTGGCAAATAAAGACTTGGCAGTTCCCAGAAGTGCTTGCAATGCCGCTCAGAAAAGCAGCTTTTCTTCGTCTGCACCCTGCACCTCTTCACCGATGCTGTAAGATACCTGAGTCTGTTTCTTTCACTGCATGGACAAACATGGAGGGAATCAAAAGCAGCAGCTGGACACAAGAGCTTAGTAGCTCAAACAAAAAGTCTTTTTTCTTTTTAAAGGCTTGCTTTCAGAGCTGGGTAATTACAGTGAGCAGTCACATCAAAGGTCCTGCCTAATCAAAAAGGAGACGCATGTTTTTCCAGATGCATCGTGTGACTCCACATCCCTCTTTCACATGAGTTCTTAAGCATCTTTTCTATCTACCTTAAAAATGTTGTATTACGGAAGCATCAGACACCAACTACTTATCTGGAATAAAAGGTTTAAGAAAGTGAAGAGATTGCAAGTTAAGGAGCTGACAGACAAGGCACATTCAAAGTTACGGCTTACAGGTATTTCTGAGGAACACTATTTGTCCAACCTAAAGCTTTCCAGTCAAAGGTATATCTGAAATTACAGGATCTATTCATAACATTACCAGTAAGGAATAAAGATACTGAAATCTAACAGCATGACTAGAACTGGCTTCTAACAATAACCCCAAAATCTTAGCCCTTGACTTGAAACTGCTTCCACTGCAAAAAGACAAGACCAAAACCACGCGCATATGCACATGCGCTTATTAAGACCTATGAAACGGCTGTTAAGCTGCATTACGTGTGCGGGGCTCCACAACGACCTTCTCGGGAGGCGCTATTCAACACAAAGCACAGGTTCTTGCTCTCGCGGGCCCCTCCTCAGGCCCGACGCAGAGCGGCGGGAGGAGAGGCGGCCGTACCTGTATGAGGCACTTGCTGACGTCGCTGGCGCAGAGCGCCTTGTTGCAGCCCGCCGACGCCTGCGCCCACAGCAGGAGGAGGAGGGCGGCGAGGGCGGGCGCCGCCGCGCGCCGCCACCTCATCCTTCCGGCACGCGAGCGGCCTCCACACGCACCTCGGTCCGCGCTGAAATGGAAAACGGCAGCTGAAAAGGCTGTTGGAGCAAAAGGTAAGCCCGGCTTTCCCTCCCCCTTGCGATTCCTTCAAACATTCAGCTCACGTTTTGCGCAGGAGCGTGAGGAGAATCGGGGTGCTGAACAACAAGCCCGACCCCTCCTCCACACAGCGAAGTCATTTATTTGACATTTTCTGCTCTTACACCTTCACGTTAAAACTACAATAAATTAAGATGGACAGCGTGGAGTTTGCAATATGTAATATCATATCCTACCTGCATTGCTAAAAGACATAAATTCTGCACATGAAGACCTAATACTAAAGGCCCAATTCCGTAAACGCATAAAGGAGATGCATATTTTTCATGTATATTTTCTGAGGTTAAAGGTGCACACGAGCAGGTGTGCCCAAGCTATAGAACAACATTTGTACAATTTCTGTACTGTTGTGTGGTGTCTTTGACTTAAGCACATGGTCGCTCTCACGCTGCCAGAAAGCTGCCGCACGGGCAGCTACGGAACTGTTCCCGGCTCCGCAACTTTTTAAAGCACATGAAAAACAGGCCAACAGACTCCGCACACGGCGAAATCACCGAGCGCCCCGTGAGGCCCCGGCGTCACCAGGCCGCCCGCAGCCACCCGGCCCTGCGGAGCGAACGCTGGGCTCGCTCGAAGCCTCTCGCCGCTGCCCAGGCCCCGCTGTCGCGGCCAG